AGGCCACCGGCTCCAAGGACGCCGCCGGCTCCAAGGAGCCCGCGGGGGCAGGGATTGCGCTCCCCGCCGTGAGTAGCGCAGGGGCGGCCGGCGGGACGCGGGTGCGGCGGCGGGCGAGGGGCGCAGCACCTCGGAGCAGCCGCCGGGGCCGAGGGGACACCACGCCAGGAACCCCGTGGGAAAAAAAAGCCAAAAAACCCCTAACAAAGCTAGGCTACGCGAAGTAAAACCGCATTAGGAAGGCTCTGTTGAGTGAGGGGAAAATACACATTCCGTCTCTTCCTTTGGTCTTTCAGGCACCAGGGACTGCGAGGAGCAGCTACTCTGACACCCCCGAATGTTTTCGTGAAGCTCCCGACAGGGCTTGGGCGGCATCACCCGGAGGAGTGCTATGCCTTGGAATTGGCATGCTGCCGTGGGAAGAGCATGACTGCGTCATGCCTGCCTCTAGCATTTCATTTCTGCCGCATCCAGCTTTAGCAGAGTGGGAATTCCTTCCATCCGCTGTCCAATTATTAAAAACATGGTACTCCAGCCATCGTTAAAGAACTGCTTTCGGCTGTCCTGCGTCCTCAGGACTCCAAAAGCTGGCTTCAGGAGCACAGCTAGTGGAGCCCTCATTATCCAGTCTGTTTCTAATGACGTTTACCAAAATCTAGCTGTGGAAGACTGGATCCACGACCACATGGATTTAGAGAAGCGACAGGTCCTTTTTCTTTGGAGAAATTCCCCTGCTGTGGTAATAGGCAGACATCAGAATCCCTGGCAGGAATGCAACCTCAGGCTGTTGAGGCAAAAAAATATAAAACTAGCCAGGAGAAGAAGTGGAGGAGGGACAGTTTACCATGACCTTGGTAATATCAATTTGACTTTCTTCACAACCAGAAAAAAATACGAGCGAATGGAAAACCTAAAACTGGTTGTTAGGGCACTGAAAGCCTTGCGCCCCCAGTTAGACATACACGTCACTGACAGATATGACATCTTGCTAGATAGGCACTACAAAATCTCAGGTACTGCTGCAAAACTGGGAGGGACAAGTGCTTATCACCACTGTACCTTACTCTGTAATGCAGATAAGTTTGTTTTATCTTCTGTGCTAAAAAGTCCTTATAAAGGGCTAAAGAGCAATGCCACTCCTAGTGTCCCTGCCTCGGTGAAAAATCTATTTGAAGAGGATCCTAGTTTAACTTCTGAGATGCTCCTGGATGCCATTGCTAAGGAATATGCTACACAACACCAAATAGATCATCATATCACCTTAATAAACCCAGCTGATGAGACTCTGCTTCCTGGAATTAATAATAAAACTAAAGAACTACAAACCTGGGAGTGGGTGTACGGAAAGACACCAAAGTTCAGCGTTAGCACTTGTCTTAACATGGCCTATAAAGATTCTGTTCTTGACATTAAAGTAAATATGGATGTAAAGCATGGAAGGATTGAAGTCTGTAACATCGATCTGCCGGAGCAGTGGCTGCCACCAGCACTGTACAGCGAATTGGTCAAGAGCCTTACTGGCAGTAAGTTTTGCCCAAATGAAACCACAACACTAGCGACAACATTGCTAAGAGTGTGTCCACAAGATGATGAGTTGCACAGCAGGTGGAATCTACTATGTGAGAATATGATAATGCTAATGTGACTTGCATTTTGAAAATGTAAGTTAAACTTCTGCTGCTTTTTTATTTAATGTATTAAAAACAAAATTAAAGTTGAATTTTTCTCTTACTAGTCAAACTGTTCAATCTTGTGCTTTTGTTTAATATTACAATTAAATTTCACACTGCCTGCACCCGATGTTCCCAAACTGTAGGATGTAAGCCACTGCTGCCAAGACATCATTGCTGCTTAATCAGAGAAAATGGTTGCAGGCATGCCAGATTGGCCCTGTAGCAGAGATGGGATGGGGTAAGTGAAAACTGGTGCTGTGCTGCTGCACTGGATGCCCCAGCCTGCACCCTGTTCCTGGGGGATGGTAATCCAAAGGCTGTGTCTCAGACCCTGAACTGTGTGGAGAGGGATGTCCCCTGGTTTCTGGTTGAAAGTCCTTTATTGCAGAATGCTGGTGCCCCTGTGCCTCCACTGTACAAGCATGGTAGTATGCTGAACTCACTGCTGTGAAATGAATCACTTTGACAGTTCCACCCTGGATTAGGGCTTTTTTGTCCATGCATGTGCAAGAGCAGGCAAAGGATTAGGAAATTCAGTGTGGGGTGTTGTGTGATGAGGGCAGGAGAGCTGTGCCTCCTTTGTTCCTGCACTGCCTGGCACAAAGCTGGGAGTCCCTGCTGCCATGGGTACTGGTATCTAAGCTAAACTTTAGGAGATACAGTTGCAAGTACAGATCTGGGAGAAACAGGTTTCCTTATGTTACAACCTAGGAGAAAATTTTCTAGTAAGAGACAATAGTGAACTGAAAATGACAATTTTAATGTTACATAATAGTTCAATATAAAGTAAAATTAAAAGAAAGGCTCAAGATATATTTCACTGTTGTTGTGAATAAGCAAAATGCAATTTTGATTAGGTCAGAACAGAAGCACTTTATTACTACAGTTTTAGGAGAGAACCCAGTGCAGCAGTGACAGACTCCAATGATGTGAAGTCTCCAAATGACGCAGTCACAGAGTTCATGTACCTTTATATTACAGAACTCTTTCTTCACCAAACTGCTCTTGAATAGTAGAGTTAGTTAAATTTGACGTGGGAGGTTCATCAAGGAAAAAAGCCATAAATTCACCTGTCAAGGTGTGAGCACATCAAGGCAAATTCCATTCAGCACAATATATAAGCACAGCCCAATTTACCTAAGTCTTTTCCCAGAAGGCTAACCAGGCTGGTAGGACTTTAAATGAAACCATGGTATCCAGAAATGAGACAGATAGTTACAAAGAGCTTGTTACTAGATGACTTATGTGTTGCCCTGAAGTACCAATACCATTTACTACATCTATATTAATGAAACTGCAGGAAAAAGAGGTGGATATAAAGTGGTGTTATGGTGTTATTGAGAAATGCCAGTATCAATTAGGCAAGAAACAATCTTGCTATTAATAGGTCAAGATAAATAAGGATCAGTCTTGCCTCAAGAAAGTAAAGGAGCAATGATGTTTATGTTCTTGGGGCTGTCCTAATCACATTTCTGAGCATGTGGCATGAAGGGAAAGTTGGATGAAAAGTTAGCATAACTATTGGACAAAGACTTAGAAGACTTACAAGTAGGTCTGTAAGGACACATTGATTTCCAGTGTCCTTGTTGTCCATACAGAAAACCCTCAGCTGAAGCTCCAGTAAGGATTTCAAACTGTCCCTTACCTTTCTGAGTGGCACCAGGGGGATTTCAGCAGGGATCAGTCTGCAGTCCTCCCAGGCCATGCAGAACATGTGAATCCAACAGCACCGCATTCTGTCACGGAATAACTGGAATGCAATTTTGATCAGGTCAGAACAGCAGCAGTTAATTAAATAATGCTGTCCAGATAAGACAGCTGCAAATAGTTAAGAAGTGATGCCTGCAAAGGCCTATAAGGTGTTACTATGTTACTTCCACACTGACACCTTTAAAAGATGACTGGTTGACCAGCTCTCATGAGGAGGAAATTACACAGCAGAAGTGACCTACCTTTAGTTAAGGAGTGCAGTCAATGGGGGTGAATCCAGCCGTCAGCTGGGACTGGTGGTAGGGCTGAGCGACACTCGGCTGAGCCCAGCAGGGAAGGTGGCTTAAGTTCATCTCCACAGATGATGCCAGGAGGGACAGTTCTGGCTGCACAATCCAGGTGATGACCTGACAGCATCAGTGTGAGCAGCAATACAGAAGAATATGGCTTGGAGTCGATAAAATGGTTGCAGAACTGTACTCTCAGATTTCTCTGGTAGTTTGTTGGGTTTTTTCCATTCCTTGATGCCCACTGCTCTTCACACATGGTGTTCCTACTGACAGCACAAAGAACTGTTCAGCGATAAAGGCCTTATAAGTAAAAATTGCAGTGCAGCACCAAGTGGTACGTCACTAAAGGCTTACTTGGTATGTGTGTACAGATACTGCATATCCATAGGATCTGCAAGGAAAGCTGTAGTCTTAGCTAGTGAATTATAGTTAAATTAGAAGAAAAAGCTCCTTATTTCGCCTCTGTATGTTTAAAATTGCTGAACTAGGTTAAAAGACACAAAGCTTCACATTTGGGAAGCTCACTGTATTTACAGTGAGCCTTCTCCCAAAGATGGCTGGATCCATGAGGCATTACCCAGCTTCCTTGAATTACTCTATGCAGTGAAGAAGTCAAATAGATGACTAAAACAACAAAAAATAAAAAATATTCTTTATTCCCATTAAAAATAGGCATATATTATACACAAGTGAATAAAATTCACAACAGTGACTAGAAAACTAGTATCACAGCAGCAAGCCCAGGAGCTTCTATGGAATGTCTGGGGGAACAACTAGTAGCACACAGCTCTGTGGCACATATATTATTCATTTTGCTGATGTAACACTCCAAAGCTGAGACATTACTATGAGAAAGGATAAAGAAGGTAAACCACTGGCAAATTGTGACCCAGAAAATAAGGTAAAGACCAGCTCCATTTCTTCTTGATTTCTGTGGAATAGATTTGTTGTTATAGGCAAGAGGGAAAGAATAGCAGCATTAGATGATAGAAAATAAAATAATAAAGCACATTAAGGAAAGAAAAGTATAATGGAATACACCTATAAACATGCTACTAGAATACAGAGGCCTGCTGTATTACAAGGGCAGAAAGCATAAGGCACCTATCAGTACTGAGGCTAAAAGAGATTTTGATGGGACCTGCAAAAGAGGCCACTGCCTGTTTTTATGCCAGAATACATGACTTTGGCGAACTCTTGCTAAGAAAGAACTCTTAAGAAGAAAAAGAAGCAGCAGCTCAGGTAATACCTTATGGTTTCCAAAGGATGAAGGAATGACAAGGAAAGACTTTGTCTTTGCTCCAAATAGCATATTCCTCAGAAAGGAAAAACTTAAAAATAAATTTTGGGTTTTTTAGGGGACTACCATAATAGTAGGGAAAAATGCAGTTGAGACTGGCATGAGTAGCCAGTCATTGGACCTTAAAGTCAGAGAATAAGACTGGGAGAAGATCATACATCCTTTCCACACCTAATGCAAAGGATGGAAATCAGGTATATGACCATACATCATGGAATAAAAAAACATATAGGAGTGACAGGGAAGAGAATACAGCTGTTTGCAGCCTTCCTTGTCCAAAATCCATCATGCAGAGACACATAAGACAACCCTAAAATTACTGAATACTGAACACTAAAACTCTTGTAGGCAAGAGGCTTGGAAAATGGAATGTTAAATTTGGGGTTACTAGTAAAGTCTGTGAAATAAGGTATTACGAGATTGACTAAAACCCAGTAGAATAGTAGTCATGACTAGAATACAGTAATTAAAGGAAGTAAATAAGATTGCTGGTAAAAGAGGACATGTGGCAGCCCAGCTTCCAATGTTTGTGAGGTGGTCAATTACAGATATAAACCCCAAAATTGGCTCAAGACAAAATCAGTAGTAAAAATAGAAATGACAGTAAAGAGGCCTTTGAAAGACAATATTGAGGGTCTGTTATGAAATCAAGATAAAATTTAGACATGGATTGTATTAATTAAGATTACAGAAGAAGTACAGTAAAGGAATTTACAGTTGTGTTTTCTCAGACTGAAAAGCCTCAAGTATTCTTATACCTATAGATTATAAAAGCTATGCTGCACTAAGTACTTGGAAGAGTTGCTTCTGAGGGTAGACAGCTGGACTCAAGGAACATCTTCCAGTCTTACATTTTTATGCTTATGAAAACACTTATTAAAAGCAGTCATATCTGATTACATTTTCTTTGT